AGGGGGGGGGGGGGGGGGGGGGGGGCTTTGCGGGCCCCCCCACCCATAGCGCAGTCAGACCCCATAACGCGCCTTTCTGACACACCGTCACCGATAATCCATAACAAAAGCCTGTCCAGCACGGTGAAGAATCATTCCTTCATTTGTGTGATAACTTCTGCATTGTTATGGAAGCCAGTTACTTGACTGTAGACAGACATACAGAGAGACATAAAGATAGAATCAATCTCCAAAGTAAGATTAAGGAAATTTAAGATGGTATCTATTTCAGTTTTTGTTAGACTTTTTGTTATTTTTAATCAACGTCGGGCATCTTTCTTCACCCCCCCCCCCCGCTCAGACTACCTGGTCCCGCTGCTGAGCTCAGTGTTCATCGTGATTTGGATCCTGGCCCTGGTGGTGGCGTTCCTCTGGTGCTTGCGGCGGCAGCGGCAGAAGCAGGGCAGCCACGGCGGCCCGGCGGGGACGGCGCCGGCCGAGGGCGGAGCCACCAACAACGTGCGCGAGCAGCTCAACCAGATCAAGAACCCCATCGAGAAGCACGTGGCACCCGGCGCCAAGGACTACGGCGGCAAAAACACCATCATCGCCAAAATCAGGACACAGAACACGGAGGCCGAGGAGGAGGAGATGGAGAAGCACCTGCAACGGGCTCGATTTGCCAAGCAGCCCGTCTACACGCTCGTCGACAGGGAGGACAAGGCCACGCCCACCAAGAACCCAAACTGGACAAACAAACAGGACAACAGAAACTTGGAAACGGCACACAGTCTGAACCGAATGGAATATATTGTATAGCAGAAATGTGGGGTTGCCATGCAACCGGGTGGGGTTGGGGTGGGCGGGGGGCGGGGCTATGAGTTCGTAGTCCTTAAACTGTTGTCATATTTTGACTCAAAGGTTATTATTTACATAGAATTCCTATGTTAATTTAAGTCTCGACAAGTTGACTCACACTGGCAGTGTCTGTGGTTAACTGGGGAGAACCAGGTGCTGCATGTCACACCTATGCAGAACTAGATCCAGAAGCCCTGCGTATTAAACACCACCACCCCCCCTCCTCCCCGGACGCCTGGACGGTAATCGTGGGCTTCGTCCGAGGATTTCCTTAAATCACAATCCAAAAGTTTGCAAAAATGGTCTTAAGTATTATTATTTTTTAAGAATACAACACACAAAAGCAGCAAACAGGGCAGTTGGATCGCGGTGGTTTTTGAGGCAACTAGTTCTGTATTTGAAAGTGCCTTTGCAGCTCCGTACCACAACGATGTCAAAAAGAAAAGTTTTATTATTTATTATTTTTATTTTTAATTCTTGGGGAGGGCTGGGTCGATGTCAGCGGTCGCTGTCAAAATGAAGAATTTAAAGTGTCAATTTAGAACACTGTATAGATATGTACATTTTTTTAATTAATCATTGTGTATATTTGATTTATTAACTTAATAATCAGGAGCCTTAAGACGCCATTCCCTTTCTATTTAAACGTATCGTCTAGATTTGAAGGTTTTGACGACTTTCTATATTTTTGGTGACAATTGTTCCGTGTTTCATAAATGCCAAAATCTGAAGTGCTCTAGAAAGAATAGTTTATTTTTTAACAATAGATTGGGCATTTTTGTGCCTATAAAAAAAAGAATGTTTTGTACAAATGTCAGGCGTAACGAGTTCAGAAGTATCCTTTTCTGCCAGGACATCTTTAATTAAGGCGCGCTAGAAAAGGGGGGGGGGGGGAGGGGGGTGCATATCGTCTTGCTGCTTAGTTTTTTGCCAAACATGGGGGGCTACCCTAATGGTTATAAGGACAAAAATGAGAGCAAAGGCTTTATAATGACCAGAGGATAACGACAAATTTGCCTATGTAGTATGTGATAAAAAAAAAACAAAACGAACCTTTGGGACAAATCTCTCAATGTATACATGCTATGATTTAGCATAGCATGAGAAGCTAGCCTCTGAATACTTGAACGGTAGGAAGGCATCAGGGAAGCTGCAGAAAGGGGGACGCAAAGGCCCCACCTCCAATAACAGGAGTTTGTGCTTTTGCTGTCCGCAGTTTTCCGTTTTTTCGAGGCTTTGAAAAGCATGTTCATTTTCGTTATCCCTGGAGAGTGTACTTTGGACTTCGCCGTCAGACTTGAGGACAGACTTTTGAGGTGTTGTACCTGGCAATTTTTTAAAAAGTTGTATTTATTAAATATTTTGTATGAAAAGAGGTGGAAAGTTTCTTTGAAGTGATCCTGTTTTTCATGCTTGAGGTGGACGGACAGACAACCGGGGGCCACATACAAAGGCGTCACTCTCATTGGGGACCCGAGTCGTTCCTTCCCCGCTGAAGATTATGCAAGCATGTGGGGATGTTTAGAAGCGACACGCAGGGAGGGGGGAATATGCATGGGAGCGGCCAATCGTCTTCACAGACACAGGGTGTGAGGTCATCGTAGGCAATCTTGTGGGGAGTCACATGAGAGTGGGCTTCTGACCCCCCCTCGTCCCTCCACCCACAAGGAGAGAATCTGCGTAAAGGACAGGGCCTCATCCGAGACACAGGGCCAGCAGGAACGAGACGAGAAGTACGGACACGTCCTCCACATGCACCGAATGCCACACTGGAGAATCTCAAAGCGCGGGTGAATATATTGGATTCTTCTCCGGATTAGAGGAATCCGACAGCTCGGTTAAGCATTCTGTGGCCTGTTGCTCGTTTCTCGTTACGGGCAGAAGCAGACGTGAGTCGCCCCCATCCAGCCGGAGCAGACTGCGTTTTCATGCTGCTGGGGGCGGGGCAGCCTACTGTTGCATTTCGTTAGGCAAAATTTGCTTGAAATCCTGATGACTGCAGCACATTAAACTGAGCATTCTATGAATAAATGGGCTCCAGATATCAGTCTTTAAATCCACGTCCAGAAAATGCCAGTTCCCTGTTCTATAAAGCGGGACCATATAATGCACAGGCAGAACCGGCTCCGCTTTAGCTGGAGGAAATGGAGAAGCGGTACTCTGTGGTCCGGAAACCTGCACTTGGACACTACAAAACTAAACATGCAAAATAATCATCCTGCTCTCCCAGTGTTCACTGCGAAAATGTCAGCTGCTGCGTATATTTTCATGAAGTTCTAAAAGGGCAGATGAATGCAATAAAGGGCCGCACATTCGCCACCGCTATCTGCAGCAGACGGGGCTGATGGGTAATCAGACTCATTTCAGTGGTGCAACATGGCCGAATCTGAGCTGAACTGAAGCTGCTTTTATAAATCACAGGGAGACCCACATGGAAGATAGAAAAACAGCTTTATTAAAACCATGAATGTTTTTTTTTATATATATAAAAGAAGCATCAAACTGGGTCTGGAACATACAGGACTCTGCATTCGCTAACCATCAGGCCCATTGGATGATGGGGGGGGGTGGTCCTCCCCGCTGGTTCTGGGTGGTCCCCATGGCACAGGCGAGGCCCGGTTCTTGGCACCGGGGAATAGCAGACCCTCCCCTCCATCCCCCATAAATAACACACTCCCCGGATCTTAAACAAGTTTTGTGCCCATTTCTACATTAAAGGATTTTTATTAAAACTGCTCATATTTACAAACGCCCAGTCCCTTTCGTTTGCCTAAATTGCCATGACGACCGTTGGGAAACGAATACTGCGATTCTGGTCGTGGTGAGAGAAGCCTTGGAGAGGAGCTTGGAGCCGCAGGGGGGCATCCCAAAGCCGGCGAGTCTAAGCTGGGACGTTCTGACAAAGCCCAGACGTGCGGGAGCCTCTGTCAGAGCCGACGGGGGCCTCGGCTCCAGCCCGTCTGAAATATGGGCAATGGTATACGCATAAACAAACCCTCATGCACCCCCCTCCCCCCACCCCATTTTGCTTCGTATGCTCCCAGACTTCCGCGTGTTTTTAAAAACCCGACCGAACTTGGCTCAATAAGGCCCGTTTCAGGAAAACCACATAGCAAAAATGATTCAGACATCAGGAATCGCTGTGTATACGCGCTCGCCGGACACGTGCCAACGCGACGTGTTCATTAAATCACACGCACCATTATGGCATGGGGGGGTCTCGCTTTCCACTCAGGCGCCCCCCCACCCTCAGGCCCTCTTCAGCCGTCTCAGTCGTGACTTTCTGGGCACATTCTCCTCTCGTTCCGTCTCTGCAGGCCCGGAGCTGACAGGCGGACAAGGGGGGGGGCCAGCCCGGCCTGAAGGGCCTTTATCATCCGCGACGGGGCAGTCCCGGCCCGTCAGCCCCGCGTCGACTTCCGCGAGGAGCACCCCCGAGTCCGATTTCCCCGAGGTCAGGACAACTGGTTCTGCCGCGCTGTCAGCTGATCCGGCCGCTTGGTACAGCCCGGGTTCCTGCGGACGCGTCGCCATGGAGACCGGCGCGAGGGACTCGGGGAAACGCGTTTCGTTCTTTGCCTCACTAGGGGAGTCTGAAGCCCATCCGAGGCACATTCTCTTGGCACCGTCTCCATCTTCCCGAGAACTGTGCCCGCCCCTCTCCCGTTTCTCTGGGCCATGCCCCGCCTGCGGTGGAGCTGAGTCACACCTCGAGGGGATGCCGGCGAGGCCGAGGGCCGCTGTGGGGGGGCTGACTGTTCTCGGGCTGCCCGCCTCTCCGCGCTCCATGGAGGGAAGCCGAGGAGTGCCATGAACTCGATTGTCCTCCCAGCCCGGCGCCTGAACCCCGAGCCGGCCGTCTCCAGCGAGCGCCGGCGGGACACAGCCTTCCGACCCCGTCGTCATAGCAGCAGCAGGGGGCGGCAGCATCGGCGGCGGCTCTCCTCCAGGGTCCCGGTGTCCCTGGATTCGGGCAAACGCCTGCTTGACGCTGCCAGATAACGGGACAAGTATGAGGGTGGGGTGTGGAGCCCCCCCCCGCAGTTCACACGGAACGTGGCGCGGCGTGCTGCACTCACATCTTTTGAAGGGCGTTCCTCTTTGTTATCGCAGCGCTGTCGGATGGGTTTTCGGTTTCGTGGGCCCCGTGAAAATACTCTGACCTGCTCTGCCCATGGGCCGCCATCTTGAAAAGACAAACAGCGGATGGTGTGAGCGAGACAGAGAGAAAGAAAGAGTTCCCTCTGGAAACCCATGGTCCAAAAACAGTGCGACCGCCAGATCACATGAATATGACACCACAGGATGAATTATAATGCCGTTCAACCCATTATCGACTCTTGTACTTCAAATCTTTCAATTCACCTTTAATTTTATTTCCCAGGTGCTGAGGGTCTGGCCCAACACACTGCAGTCACGATAATCATTAATGTTCTAGGCTGTAGTTGCAAATACTTTATCACACTGCTAATCAAAACAACGAACAAAAAAGGGGGCCACGTTTGCCAAAGTACCCACGATTCTCACAAAGGGCTTGCAGCGAGGACTGATTCCTAAAGATAGAGGCACTTTCATTGCATCCCAAAAACGTGACCCACCTTTCAGACAAGTGGAAAGCGCCAAGAAGGCTGACAGAACCTGGACATACAGTGAGCGGCATGAAACTGCGGAATGGCCGGCCACCCATGGGTAACTAATTAATGAGCGTGATGTGTGCTCTGTGACACTGTTCCCAGTGTGTCTCTTGGTTCTCACAGAGCGCCGTGGATACAGAGTGGACCGGAGACAGCGGCAGCTCAGCAGGAGGGCCGCTTGTTCCGGAGTGAGCCGATCCGGATAGCCGACAGAACCGGCCCCGGGGAGAATGAACCAAGATTATCGCGTTCCTTGCAGTTTGGGGACAGCGGATGATGGGAATCAACAAGCATTAGGAACATTCCGGACCCTTTGCTCGCTTTATTAAACCCTTGTGCCGAACGTGGTGGCTCTGGGCCCCGTGGCTCCGGATGGCTTCCAGAAATCAGCACGCTGAACTTTCCCTTCTTGTTAGTTTTTTTTGGGTTTTGCTTCCCGGTTCCCAGAGACGTCTCACAAAAACAGGTGGTTGTAGACATGATTTTATGACCCCTCTCTCGCTCCCTCTCTCTCTCATCCCATCCTCCCTCCCTCCGCTGCATATCATAGGGCAAACCTATGAGCCGTCAGCTACTTATTCCTTACACATCGTCGGGGGATTTTATTTTAAAATAAAAAAGTGAAGGTCCTGCGCCTGAGCAGCACAGAGGACTCCTGTCGCCAGGTGGAACAGGTCGTAGGGAAGAAAGGGTTAACAAAGGGTTAAAATAAATGGCGTTTGCACTGGGAACCCGAGGGCAGGGGGAGAAAAACAGCGAAAATCCATGCCAGTGCAGGAACACGGAGGTGAACCCATGGACACAAGAAGGGCCACCACAGCCACCACATGTACCTGAGCAAAAGGGGGCGTGGCACACAAACCGCCTCCCACATGGGAATGAGAGCGGCTGATCCAGCACACGGTCCAGAACCAGAACCCCGACTGCAGCACCCGGCTCCCAAGAGACAGTGCCGGGCAACATCGACACGGTGCGACGTCCAAGACCCAAAAAAGGGAAAAGGAAAAATTAAAAAAAACACTGTGAGAAGGAAGGTATGGCGACCGCTTTCCTTGCCACCACGCCCTGGGAGCGAGGAGAAGTTTATTTTGAAAGCTGAACAATTAACGTGGGGAGTATGAGTCAGACTCAGAGGACTGTGGGAAATGAAGAAACTGCAAGAGGCGAGAGCAGAGATACAAACACCGCAAAACAAGGAAACAGCTAAGGGAAAAAGAGAAGCCAGGCCATTTAAAAAAAGAAAAAGGCGGCAATTTACTCGAGAGCCTCACAGGGCACAGGACGGCCGTCCATATGGACTGTTATATAGTCACATTAAGCTGTGTAAACAAAGGGCCGAGGTCAGCTTACGCCCGGTACGTACAGAGGTCACCTCTTCAACGGTACATAGAAATAAAAAGAAACAAAACAGAGGCACAATGTCCACCCAGAGCACGGTGGGGGTTGGGTTTGTCCCGTTTCAGTCAGGCGGAATTTCAGAAACAGGGGACACAAATGTCAGACCCCTGTTTGTCACCGCCCCACTGCCAGTGGTGGGACTCCAGTGACGTGCCTGATTTTACAGTGAGCCAGGGGCCCTGTCTGGAGAAGGCTGACGTTGCTGGTGAAAATGTTCTGTGAATGTTCTCATAACGTTTGTGAAAAATCGTCGGGACAGTAAATCTTGTAGATCCTGTCCTACTTCAAAATAGAAGCCTGTTACAAAAACAGTTGTTTTCCTATAGACGCCTGCAGCTTAAGGA